CATTGCATTGTATTGTATTGTATTGTATTGTATTGTATTGTATTGCATTGCATTGCATTGCATTGCATTGCATTGCATTGTATTGTATTGTATTGTATTGTATTGTATTGTATTGTATTGTATTGTATTGTATTGTATTGTATTGTATTGTATTGTATTGTATTGTATTGTATTGTATTGTATTGTATTGTATTGTATTGTAGTGAGAATCGAATCCACGATCTCAGAGGTGAAAGGCGCTTGCTCTGACAAGTGACGACTATGCCACCAAATTGATAAGTTAAAAAAGCGGTATATAAAACAAAGACAGCAGAGGCCGGCTGTTCAAAAGCCAGTTAGCTTAATCCGCCTAAGTTAGCAAACACATTTTAAGCGAATACTCCAACAGCTTGTTTTATAAACAGGAAATGTCTTTCAAAACATCATGTCTGGGTCGATTGAAATTTTATTTTCTGAAATCTTGAAATAAACAGACAGCAGGAATTCACAAACCAAAACAGCATGTTAAATTTGAACCCAGGGTTAGCGCTAATTGAACTTTGAACAACGCAACAAGTTAGTTTAAGTATCAGTATAATAGTTTTCGGTAAAGATTCGGTGAACTTGCTCAAGCTCGCTGTTTAGGCATTCCAGAGTTTTACGCCATTGTAGTGTAAATTTTGGTTTGAAGTAGTTTGAAGTAAAGGAATATCCAGACCATTGTTGTTGCGTGACTGACAATCATGTATCTCCTAACAAACTTTTACACAAGAAAGCACAAATAACTTCTCTTCCTAAATTCTTTAGAGGTTGAGTATAAATTTCTATTAATTTCTTACGGCTCATCGTCTTTACATTTCTCCTCACTATCTGCGATCAATTAGTGCACTGATCAAAAGATTTCACCACTTTCTACAAAAATAAAATAACAACGAAACAAACAAATATATCTATTTAAATCTCATAGGAACAAACTTTACAATTCATGGGAGATGAACACGAGTTGATTGGAAACAAGATTAATGATCCAAGTGAACCGGGGATATACACCAAGTTAATACTCCCCAATGGAATTCAACTCACGTTTGGTCAAGTGATAGCGTTAGCTGGGGATTTTTTTGCTTTACCTAATGCACCTATCATCACAGTTCATGGTAAAGGGGATGGAAAGAAGCCTTGTCGTTGGGGTGGAAAGAAGCCTTTTCCTGGGGGTAGAGTGAAGCCCATTCCGGGGTGTGAAAACAAGCCATATCCTGGGGGTCGAAAGAATCCTTATCCTGTGGGTGGAAACAAGCCTTTTCCTGGGGGCGGAAAGAGGCCTTATCCTGGAGGTAGAAAAAAGCCTTATCTTGACCTCATGACCGAAAGAGTGCCTTATGATGCATTCAAGACCGGAACTGTTAAAGCAACGCCGGATGAACGCAAACGATTCATGGGAGCTTATGCCACACTTGCTAGTGTGCCACGTAAATCGATTGAGAAACAAGTGGCCACGCTTGTAACAATGATCGGGGAAGACCTGCTTGTGAGGAGATATCACAACGGTACACTTCATACTAATGCTCAATATGCATATGTTACTAACGGCAGAATGTTAAAACTGGCAGCGATTAATTTCGACCATTTTGAGCCACAAGCGCCGAGAGCCTACCTCGTTGGTCATCAGTTAGCGATGGAAAAAGCCCGAGAGGCGGCAAAGGAAAAAGATCCTGACATGCACAAAGAAGAAAATGTTGAACGAGTCTCCCTCTATAGATGCTTTTGCTTGTCACTTTCTCACAGATTGTTTCTCAAGCGGTCGTATGAGGTATATGAGCAATATTTGTTTAATTGACAAATTATTACTGTCGTCCACAAACACTTGTTAGCCATGTGTTTTAAAGTCAAATTTTGCGGCTTTAAATCCGTTCGAAAGCTGCATTAGAAAACTCTATATACAATAACTTTTGATTTCTCATGGCATTTAAGTGTTTGTAGAGATAATTTAAACACCTCTTAAAAGTACCTTAAGTCTATATATAAACATATCATTTTCTGTCATAAACTACCGTAAATATTACTAAGTAAATCCCTGACTCGCAATGAAAATGGCCTCCAGATAGAAATGAGCAGAATTCATTTTCCAGCTAGACATTTCTTTTCCGAAAGCTAGTTTCTTCGTATGTCTCCTTCAAGTTATTTGAACTTTGAAATATCGAACTACAACTGTCTTTTTAGTGGTATTATGGGTTTTCCTATTTCCATATTTATACACAGCAAAATTGAGAATTCTTACCTAGAAAAAAATTATTGCAAAATTCTTATTTTAAGCAATATTTTGCTTAAAATAAGAAAAACGAGAGAAAATATTCTTATCAAGAATTAATTTTACTTAAAATAAGTAAAATGTTTGTAAGCAAGAATAATTGTTTTCTTAATTTAAAATAAGCAAAAGTTCTGGTAATCTTGCTTATATTCTTACCAAGAATATTTATATACTTAAAACAGGCAAAACGTCTTGCTATATTCTAGACAAGAATAATTGACTTAAAACAGTCATTAATTGGTTCTTGTTGATACAGTATTCTATTCATGATCAAGACAAGACTGATCATAATTTGTTTTCTTAAAATATATAAGCGAAGAGTCTCATCAGGAATATTTGTTTTCTTAAAAGAAGCAAAGTTGCCGTTTTATAGGCTTACTAAGATTATTTGTTTTATACAGTGGTTAAAACAAGTAATGTTTCCGTCTAAACCCTTGACAAGAATATCTGTTTTCTTGAAACGTGCTGCGTGCAGTAAGAGGTCTATATAGGAGGCGCGCATATTAAAATTTAAGAGTATAAGAACTGCATGACAGTCTTTATACCAAGAATTAGAGTTCTTAAAACAAGCAATTTGTTACTTAAAATTACTTACTTACACTTGGGCAGTGTCAATCTACACTTAACCTGGTGCATGTTGCAAAAAATAGTCAAGGATGTTAAAATACACCTATCTGGTGTAAAATAGAAATATCTCGTAACACTTATTCATATCTGATTTTTTTTGGCGTCAGTATTAGTGATCACGAAAGTGTGCCGGGATAAACAGTAAATATAAGCATTGAAAAACAAATGTGTGGTTATAACAGAACCCACTCAAACTTTCAAAATTAATTTAAGTCATTTTATCGTATTTAATGGGCCTGAAACTAAGTTTATAGTCCCCCATTACACCGTTGTTTCTGGAGTGTCAGAGGCTGCTATTAGGCATAATATTAATAACTAAGCTGATATGTATGCACCTTATATTGCGTCGTATATGCTTTAATTATTGCCATGTAAGGAAGATATAATAACACAGCTAGAATTTTGAAGATGGAATTAAAAGATTCTGTCAAAAAACAGAAATGCAGCTTAATTTTTACTGGATTGTTCACATGATTGAGATCAGTGCCTTCAGTCAATCGCGTTGCCATATATGGTCACAGAGGAGAGACTACACTAAGATGTAACTCAGCGAAAAAAAGTGTGCGCTAATTAAAGAGAGGCAGTCAACCCCCGAACTCAAATTTCAAGATGGCGCCCGAGTGTTTCAGAAAATAACCGGCACGAGAAACACTTGCTATTTTGCTCATAACAGTTTTCCTTTACTAAAGTTGTTATTAACATGTTTATATAATTCGTCGTTGAAAGACGTGTTGGTATGAGAAACCTTCCAAGATTATCTACCGATTTATATGGCACTATTATTCATCGTAGGAGTGAAAAATTGAAATTCCGAAATTACCGAGAAATTAAGAGGCATTGTCTGCAAGAACGGTCCAGCGAATTCGGACTCAATTTTCGTTTGGCTTCATAATACATCTATAACTTCCTTGATGTATCCTGATTCTTGTTCAAATAGTCATTTCTTGAAAATTGTCTTATTTCTTGTTTATCCTCAAATATATTAGACATGTTCAGAATTCCAAAATGGCGCTCATGATTAGGACGGATATTTGCAATTTTTCTAACTTTGCACCGAAGTCGTGCCAGGGTCTACAGAACATGTATCTGTGTTTTTATATTGAATAATGTATGTTCTTTTCACGACAGCATTAATAAGCCAAATATCTATTTGGAACGGGCGATTTTAGTGGCAGTAATATTTGCCCCATTAGAGTCCGTCATTCATGATCGAAAACCTGATGGATTCCATAAGGCGTAGTAAAAAAGTGGATTGCACGCTTCTGAAATTTAAATCCTATTAAAATATGTAGTTGAATAACTAAGTTATTCATATCAAATGAGAAAAGTTTTGGTCAAACTCATTTCCCGCGACAAAGGAAGGAGTCGTTATGAGGCAAATCCTCCCCTATGAGATGGTGTCCTAGCCACTATTTCTTGTTAATGCTCGTCTTAAGTTTATTGGAGAACAATGCTGGTCCATTTAGTTAAAATTTCACTTTGTATGACAGAACTTTGTAAACTGGAGATGGATATTCTTCCATACAAACGCGATTAGGTGGCAATACATCTCCGCTCGGTGGTCATCTGTCATCAATTAACAGCTCTAAAAAAATAAATACATGCAACAAATCAATATGTTTTTAGAGAAGACGTTTTATAACTTTTCCTTCTATTATTTATTAAATAAAAAGTATTTTAGACCAATTCCGTCACCATTATCGGAAAATAGTTTGTATTTGAAATATATTTGTGGTTTTGGCTTTTGTTTATAATATGCATTTCGCTGATAATTAAAAGTTGTCGATTTCAATGTTTCTTTTAATATCCGGTTTCTATAACTGATTCAATGTAAATAACACGGCGCTTTCGTTTTTTGGCATGGTTTTTCTTTATTCTCTTTAACCATGTCTGGCAAATGTTTGTTTCTTTAAGTAAGAAGGATCCAAAACAATGTAGAGACTGTCGAGGACTGACTACTGAGTGAGATGTTTCGGCTTTCTTCATGCAATGATAATGTGCGGGGACATCTCGGACGAAAGCTTGCACATTTCCGGAGAAATCGTTGGGTTGGGATAAAACGCGGAACCGGAATGCGGATTCCGTAAGCGGATTCCGGATGCGGATTCCGCATTTGAGGATAAAACGCGGATTCCGAATGCGGATTCCGCAAATGAAGATAAAACGCGGATTCCGGAAGCGGATTCCGGATGCGGATTCCGCAAATGGGGATAAAACGCGGATTCCGCATTTGAGGATAAAACGCGGATTCCGCAAATGAGGATAAAACGCGGAATTGCGTAAAAAAGGACGAGAAGAAGAATAGCGTATAAAAACTTAAATGATTACTTTTTAAGGTCACAACCACTAAAAAGCGATTGGCTAAAGTTACCTAGTTACCCTAGGCCTAACTGTTGAAGTCATACATGCATGCATTAGTGTTGGGAGGGGGGGGGGGACTGTGACTTTTTTAACTATTTCTTAAAATTATGGAGGAAGGTGGAAAATCGTAAATATCAAGAGCGTCTTCATTTTTATCTAAGTTTCTTTGTTAATGCTAGTAATATTCGGGCTTTGATGGCGCAGGCGTCAGAGGAAGCGCCTTTCGCCTCTGAGATCGTGGGTTCGATTCTCGCTACGGATTCGATGTGAAAAGAGTCAGTCAACGCTCCGCCAAAAGTCGTGAGTTTTCTCCGGGTGCAAATAGAGCAGAAATCAATTCAAAGTAGCTAAAATTACGACTTATACGCAAGACATATAACGCTTGTTGGGAAACTTTGTGTCGGATTACTAGGTGTTTATGCATGGTTTTTGTCGGATTGCTAGGTGTTGTACGCATTATAATTAAGGTTTCCTTTAATTTAATTGCGTATCAACATTCCTTTAGTAGTTGCCGCCCGGCCATATCCTGCTGCGTTCCAGACTTTAGTTCGAAGTTCGAACGCATAATATGAAAAATATCGGTTAAATATTCAGTTGGACATTTGATCGCTTACACGCGTTTTGCTAAAACAGAAATTATTTTAGCAAAAGCAGTGTCTGAGGGAAAAAATGGAAATTTGAATTGATTTCTTAATTTCTGCTCTACTTGAATTGATCAAGTTACAAATTGATTCATATAAATACAATCAATAACTACAACCACGATCATCAAGTTGAATTTTTCAGTTTGTATTGTATGGCGCTAATATGTGACTTGCGCGACAATATTAACACCGTATTATTAAATTGCAATGGAATTTAAATTCGGCTGATACTGATCATCAGTGTGTAATAGCGCATTTGTTTTATCAAAAATCATGATTTTCCAAGTTTACCGTTTGCGCTAATAAATGGACTAAAACCCAAGTTATCATATACGCAAAACGCTTTTGCCATTCACGCTTCATTGTTTACGTCCAATTAAGACTTCTAAAACTAAACTAAAGAAACATTTAGCTACATAGGACACTCTACTGAACTGATAGGATGCGCAATATTACTTTAAAAAATACTTTACTAAATACTTTATAAATAATATAAATTACTTTTTATACGAAATTTATATTACTTTAAAAAACTCATTAATAATTCAGGAGGAAAATCACCTTAAAAAAATCACCTTTGTGAGGGTGAAAATCACCTTTGTGAGGGTTTGGTAGAAAATGCGGGTTGCGGGTAGATTTTTTTGCGAGATAGATAGATGCCATGTATCAGCCGAATTTAAATTCCATTGCAATTTAATAATACGGTGTTAATATTGTCGCGCAAGTCACATATTAGCGCCATACAATACAAACTGAAAAATTCAACTTGATGATCGTGGTTGTAGTTATTGATTGTATTTATATGAATCAATTTGTAACTTGATCAATTCAAGTAGAGCAGAAATTAAGAAATCAATTCAAATTTCCATT